TGAAAACTGGACATTTAAATTAAGATATATCAATTCTGAATTCTATTTTATTTCTGAGGGTGTTCTTTTTTTTCTTTTTTTGGTAACTTGTTTGGACTTAGATCACAAAATCTCTTACCCCATAAACAAAGATGTGTTGTATGTCTGCTCACCTTTCATTCTTGTTTTTATTTATCCCAAGGACTCACTCATATGTCTTCCTAGCTTAGTGGTTAGTCAATGATTTTGGTAGAGGTTGTACTCAAATACTTTGAAGTTGTAGGACTTTCACCCTCTGCTGATCAATTTATCTGTGGGTCAGAGAACCCTCTCAAGCCTCTGTTGGCTTCTACTTTTCTCTGGGCTCTCACAGGTCTCACCCACACATGCATAATTCCTCAGGGAGATTGAGGCCTTTCTATGGTTTTCTCATTTCCAGGAAACTCTGGTGGTGTAGTGCCTAAGGCATGTGACTGCTAACCAGAAGGCTGGCGGTTCAAACCCACTGCCACTCTTCAGAAGGAAGATTGGACAATCTACTTTCATAGAAATACTGCCTCAGAAACCCAAAGAGGGGTTGCTATGGGTTGGGATCGACTTGATGGCAGTGAGTTTGGGTTTTGTTTTTTGCTGTTCTCCCCAGTTTGAACTTCAGGCTTAGGCGAATAAAACTGCATGTTTTCCTCATTCATTCCCAACTGAGCCTGCCATTTTGGGCCAACAAAGTTCTAGGTTTATTATTATTATTATTATTGTGATTTGGGTGAAGATTTACAAAGCAAATTCACTTTCCATACAGCAGTTCACGTATACTTTGTCTCATGATATTGACCACAGTTTACCACAATGCAACAGCTCCCCTCCTACTTCCTCCCCATAGTTACCTCGTTCCAGTGTCCATCTCTCCATGCACTCTTGCCCCCTGAGCTGTCTCCCTGTGCATAAGCAGCCCTTCTTTCTCAATGATTGTTCTCTTCAAGGAGTGTATCTACCTCAGGTAAGTATTCAACTCATATGCCTGTCTTTTGTTTGGCTGGAAACCACAGGTGTCAGTTCAATTCCAGACCTGAAGGGCAGCTAGGGCCCGTAGTCTCAGTGGTTCCACCAGGCTCTATCGGACCAGCAAACCTGGTCCCCCACTTTTTTTTTCCCCTCCAAATGATTTTGAGTTTTGTTCCACATTGTTCTCCCTCTCTATCAAGGATCTCCTACATAGATCCCCTTCCAAGTGAATGATAGTGGTAGCCGGGCACCATCTAGTTCTTCTGGTCTCATAGTTGTATAGGCTGCAGTCAGATGGTGCACCAGTCGCTAGGACTAATTGTTTCCATGAATTTTGTTTTTCTTCATTCTTCTTTGCTCTGGATGAGGAGAGTCCCATCATTGCATCTAGATGGCAGCTTGCTAGCTTTTAAGATCCCAGTCACTACTCGCCAAAGTAGGAGATGGAACAATGTTTTGTATAGTATGTTATGCCAATTGAGCTTGATGTCCTCTGTGACTATGGTCCCAAGCCTGCAGGTTCAACTACTCAGTCCCTCTGGGTAGCTGTCTGTGACCAAGCAGTGACCAAAACCTTGCCCCTTGTCGGCTCTATTATACACCTGGGAATTCTGATCATTCACATAAACTTATAGGACCATTGTCTGACAACCCTATACATGTTCTTGGATACACTCCCCATTTCATAGACATACCTAATTTTTTAGCCTGTCCACCCATCTATCCACCCATATACCCATGAGTTCTAGGTTTTTGCAGCTAGCTCAACACTGATAAAATCACCGCTTTTACCAACAAAGCTATTGGAGGGATTGGGGGAAAAAAAAAGCTGTGAAGTTGTTCAAGAATAAATGCTTCTCATTTTGTTACCTGCCTTTGGTAAATTTCTAGTGCCATGATATGGTTGTTTTTAGCCATTTGTTCCAGTTTTATGTTTTTTCTTTCATTTTCTTTTACAGAGAGAAATGGACTATCTCTTTAGGCTTCCATAATTGGAGGCCCCTTATTCTCATCATAGATGAGGAAAGTTAGGCTGAAAGAGATGAAGCACCTTGTCCTCAGCCATGGAGCAAGGAAAGATAGGAGAAGTAGGACTAAAGGGCTCCATTTCTTTTGTAAAAAGTTTGTGACATATAATAAACTATATTTATTTAAATGATAAAATTCAGTAAGTTTTGACATGAACATACCCTTGAAACTATCTTCACAATCAAGATAATAAACATATCCTTCACTTCCTGTCCCCTGGTAATCTTTCCCTCCCTCTTTCCAATCCTCTCCCATTTCTAGGCAAAAACTGATCTGCTTTCTGCCACTATAGTTTGCAGTTTTTTTACTCTTATATAAATGGGATAAAAAAACAAAAAAAAATACACTATCAAATATTTTTTGTCTGGCTTTTTTCACTCAGCATAATTGAGATTCATCCACGTTGTACTGTGTATCAGTAGTTTGTTTCTTTTCATTGTTAAGCAGTCTTCTATTGCGTGGATCTACAAAAGTTTACTTACCTGTTAATAGTTGTTTCTAAGGTTGAGTTGTTACAAATAAAGCTGCCATGAGCATTTGTGTACAAGTTTTTGTATGTATATGTGCTCTTATTTTTATTGCATTAATAATGAATTATTTTATATTTATAGAAAAGTTTCAAAGATTGTTGTTTTGGTTACCTCTCATGCTGCTCTAACATATATACCACAAATGAGATGGCTTTAACAAATAGGAGTTTACTCTTACAGTTTTTGGAGGCTAGAAGTCTGCGTTCTAAGTGCCAGCCTCTAGGGCTTCGGGTAAAAGCCCCTCAACCTCGGGCTTCAACTCTGCCTCCTGTTCCTGGCCTACTGAAGCTGGAAGTTTTTCTTCATTCAGGCAGCTGCTGGCTGCTGAGGCTGGCAAACCCAAGGTTGACAAGTAAAAAGGCACAGTCCCAATATTACCAAACAACATGCTAGGCCACTAATTCAAGTCCAGAAAAAGTCCCAAGATCAGCAGGGCATGGCAGGCTGCTGAACAACAACAACTTCATCATATGCAGAGTTCAAGTGTGTCAAAAACTGCAACACATTCCCAAAGATTCTCTTATATACAGGAAGCAGACCATATCCCTAAAGCCACTACTCAGCTGCTCATGGCAGATTCTAGCACGGAGTTGATTGCCAATCTCATCATGGGGAATAAATATCACCAGCTGCCCAGCCACTCAAAACCAGGCCCAGCCAAGTGGACTCATAACTTTAACTACCACAATAGTACACCCAGTTTCCTTCAAAGCCAGCATCTTACGTTACTATGCCATATTTGTTAAAACTAAGAAACTGACATTCATAGATTACTATTAATTAAATCCCAGAGTTTATTTGGATTTTACCAGTTTTCCACTCATATCAGGGGACAACATTGCATTTAGTTGTCGTATTTGCCCAGGCACCTCTGGTCTGTGACAGTTTTTCAGTCCCTCCTTGCTTTTCATGACTCTTATGTAAGGAAGAGTTGTATTTTCTCTCATTTATCCAGTCATTTATATCAGTATGGACTCATGGATATTTATTTTATATTGAGGTTATAATCCAATACTACATTATTTTGTTACTCAAATTATGCCAGTTTTGGCTACCAGAGGTTCTTTCAGGTTGCCTTTAGTGCTCTTTTGATATGTCCCCATCCTTTGTTTTTGAGCGATTCCTTACTGATACTGCAAGATGCCTCAGGCCTATCTTGTATGTTCCTTACACCAGCAGTAGAATCAGTCATATCTTCAAGAAACCCTTGTTCCTTTTCCTGGAGAATGGAATTAGAAATCCAGATGTGGGCATTGGGTATGCTCATTGCTCCTGGAGTGTCATTGCTTCTCTGCCCTCCAAGAGATAGGCAATATAACTTGTCAGACCAAACTATATGCATTCATAGTGATGTCTCTTACTCCAGTACCACTGGGTTACTCTAATCCAGTACCTCAGGGCTCATTCTAGCCTCCTCCCTTGCTTTTCTGTAACTTCTCTCCCCCACTTTCCATTTACTTGTTTAACTCCAGTATACTTGTAAAGCAGTTGCAGAATTGTTAATCACCACCCTTGGGGAAATAACTTTACCAACTATAATACAGTGTTTATATACAGCATCTTTTGATTTTTTTTTATCCGTAGCCTTACAGTTGCCGGTGAAAACATGTTTTCCAACATTTAGCCCAGCTCATTCTTTCCCACCATCTATTTTTTTAATAGATAGAAGTCATGGAAGCTATCAGCTGATTCCAAGAAGGAGATTGTACAGAAGCCATCCTTTGAACTTAAGCACTATAGAGAGACGAGTGAGCCATGCAAATTCCTGACCAAAAACCAGGAAAAAATTAAATAGGCTATTTTTTATTTTACTTTCATAGTGATACTGCCTCTGAAACCCAAGGAGGGGTCGCTATAAGTCAGATCCGACTCCATGACAGTGAGTTTGGTTTTTGGTTATTTTTTCTTTTACTTTTTGATGTCCCTTAGACCTCACTGTGAAAAATAACAGCCCTTCCCAAGCTAAATACCAGTTCTGATGCTTGCTAAGATAAAACCATGATTTCTTAGTCTTCACTGCTCATGCTTACAGCAGTATCGCCATCTTCAAACGCTGCATTCATTGGCTTCCATTGTTGGGTAGCGGTGAGGGGACAGGAAAGACAGGGGTAACGCCACACTTGGTACTTGGCATCATTGCTCATCACACCGCTGCTTCCAGCATGTGGCTGAAATCCTGAATCTATAGAAGATACGATGATCTAACATTTTATTTCCGCAAACTGGCTTTCAAGACGCTTCCTCAACTTTGCCTCAACAGTCGCCCCAGAACCAGCGAGGTAAATCTGGGCAGGCAACCCCGTAAGGTCAAAGAGCCTGCGCACTTAGCAACCCCTCGGGTTCAGGGTCCGTGGCGCACACGTGCTCAGGCGGCGGCCTCGCGCATACGTGGTGGCGCAGGCGCAGTGGAGGGGCGCACGCAGCTTATCGCTGCTCCGAGGGGTTAGCAGAGGCGGAAACATGAAGCCGTTGAGCTGGCAGGTGGCGGCCGCGGTTGCTGTGGGGCTCGCGCTGGCCCTGGAAACGCTGCCACAGGTGCTGCGCTGGTTGTGGGGCGGGCGGCGGCGGCCACGGCGAGAGGTGCTGTTCTTCCCGTCGCAGGTGACCTGCACCGAAGCATTGTTGCAGCAGGCCCCGCGCGCGGAGCCGTCCGCGTCCACCACATCGTCTGCGGGCTGCCTCTGCAGCTTGCCTCACGGCGAGAGCGCGCTGAGCCGCTTGCTGCGCGCCCTACTGGCAGCCCGCGTCAGTCTCGAGCTCTGTCTCTTTGCCTTCTCCAGCCCACAGCTGGGCCGCGCGGTGCAGTTGCTTCATCAGCGTGGTGTTCGCGTGCGGGTCGTCACCGACTGTGACTACATGGCGCTTAATGGCTCGCAGATTGGCCTGCTGCGCAAGGCAGGTAGGCCGGAGGCTAGGCGCGGAAGGTTGAGACCATACAGGCACATCCTCTAGGCCTTGCCAGGTCACCTGATAACATGAAGCCATCCAGAGTGATGTAGCTCCGTGGACGGCAGTGTGTCAGGGCCCGCAGTCCTAACACGGGTTGAGAATCCTGACAGAGGGGTTACTGTCCTGTATCTGAGTGTGACCCAAAAAAATGAGCAGGCTGTATGTCCCCATCTCCTGGCGGGGAGAGTGCTGGGATCTCGCTGGAGCAGGTAGCGGGCCTACCTGCGCAGCGATCAGACTCTGAGATTCCCACCCATCCAGATGACTGGCATGGCCTGGGGACATTTGGGGACTGTGTGTAACTGGGTGTGTTGGGTAGGGAGCCTGGTGTGATGATTACCTTCTGAAACAGCGGTGGCTTAACCTGATGGAGTTCAGAAAGTGGCAGAGTGCAAAAGCAAATCTGTGAGCCTGACCACCAGCAAGTTGTCCTGAGAGCTAGAGAGGCTTTCAGTGACTATGACCTTGTCAGCAGGTAAGCTAGATGGTAAAGATTCCCTGTCATCTCCATGACTGAAGAGGATGAGAAGGAAAATAATATACTAAAGACTGGAGCTAAATGTCCAGTTGATTAGCAGTTCTTTTAAATGATTTCTTCAGCTACAAGATGGAGATTACAGAAGCCCCAGGCCTGCTTGCCTCTCTCTCTCAGGTGGGGGACAGAATGAAACAGGAAATGTGAATAATTTTGAAGATGATCTAAATCCAGTCTTTTTTTTTTTACTTGTGAATTCTTTGTTTTATAATCTCGAATGCCAGTGTGTGAGCTGGCATTTGTCACGGTGCATTTTGTAGCCTCTTGCCTTTTTTTTTTTTTTAATTGTGATTTGGGTGAAAATTTACAGAGCAAATTTACTTGCCATACAGCAGCTCACATACACTTGGTCTCATGTCATTGACTACAGTTTCCCAGAATGCACCAGCTCACCTCCCACTTCCTCCCCATAGTTACCTCTTCCCTATGTCCTTCCCTCCATGTACTCCTGCCTCCTGAACTGTCTCCTTGTGCATACACAGCCCCTCTTTCTCCCATGATTGTTCTCTCCAAGGAGTGTATTTACCTCAGGTAAATGTTCAACTCGTATGCCTGTCTTTTGTTTGGCTGGAAGCCACAGGTGTGGTTTCAATTCCAAATTTGAAGGGCAGCTAGGAGTCATAGTCTCAGTGGTTCCACCAGGCTCTATCAGACCAGCAAACCTGGTCCCTCCCCCCACTATTTTTTTGCAAGATTTTGCGTTTTGTTTCACATCGTTCTCCCACTCTATCCAGGATCTCCTACATAGATCCCCCTCTGAGCGGTTGACAGTGGTAGCCAGGCACCATCTAGTTCTTCTGGTCTCATAGTCACAGGCTGCAGATCACATGGTGTACCAGTTGCTTGACTTCCTTGCTTTTTGTCAGCACTGCATACCTCTCACATCAGGTCCCAAGAAAGTCCTTCTTGCCCAGGCATACATTACCCTGGTGGTTCTGGTGGCCACAGGGACTGAAAAGCATCCTAAACCCTTGAGAACTGCCTGGTTGAACATAAGCCCCACTGCCACTCTTACTTATGTCTGTGCCACCACAGATCCTTACCAACCCAGGAAGTGGAACAGCCTTCTTGGAATCAGGCTTGGTTGTCCATCTCACTCAGGAATCTGAAGGGGAGGGCACTTTTAGTCTTGCTGAGCACGCTGTGTAGCTGACACTGCTGGCACAAACATGGTTCAGATATCAAGGACTGCTTACACAGACTCACTGTCTTGGTAAGAATTGTCCTAAATCTGTTGGTCATTTTAATGGAGGACTGTGGATAGGTGTATTTTAGCTGTTTGCTTTTAGAGAGTCAGAATCTCAGGATTGGAAAGAATCCTAAAGGGCTTCTAAGGTTGGCTTTCCCTTTGTGGTGTCCTAGACACATGTGCGTGAACTTGAGCCAGTAATACTTGTGTACCAGGAGTAGTTCTTGGAGCTGGAGATCCAGAGTGAGCAAGACAGTTTTATGGGATCTGATAGAACCAGGAATGTCTCATTCAGGGTGATAAGAGGGGTCACAGAGACAATAAAATGGGTGGGATGGTGATGTGAAGGAGGGGATGTGAGCAGATACCTGAGTGCAAGGAGCTGCGAAGATACTGATGGAAGAGGCCTAGTGGGTGCAAAGCCCAAGTCAGGACTAACTGTGAGGAACAGCAAGAAGCCCACAATGGCCAGAGGTGGAAGAAGCAGAAGGAGCTAAGGTTGGGAAGCAGAGGCCTGCAGGGCTGGTTTACACAGGTGGTGGGCTGCACAGGGGATCCTTTCTCACAGAGCTCTCAGTGCTGTGGAGGGTCAGGAGTCAGGGAAGGGGGTGAGGGGCTACGATGGAAGTGAAGAGACTGTGGAAGAGCCCTGTGTTGGGGTGTGGCATTGGAGGTGGAAGAAGTGGTCAGATCTAAGACATGGTTTGAAGGTAGAGGTAACAAGATTTGCTAGTGGATTGGTTATAGGGTGTGAGGAGAAGAGGTGCCAGGTTTACCTGTGATAAGGAGGTCACTACTTTGCAAGGTAGGTTTGTTAGATAAAATACATGTAGCCCAGTTAAATGAATTTTAGACAAAGAATTTTTTAGTGTAAGTCTATGTCCTAAATATTGCATGAGACACACTTAGACACTAAAAAATTGTTTATCTGAAGTTCATATTTAGTTGGGGCATCCTGTACTTTTATTTGCTAAATCTAGTAACCCTGTTATAAAGGACTCTACTTTAAACTGTCCTTTTCAATCACATTTCTGAGTGTTTTGCTTCTGAGCAGATGATTACGGAGCCTGGAATTATTCTAGGTGCTAGAAGCACTGTGAGCAACATAGCCCAGGTCCCTGCCCTAGAGGAGATTTTGAAATAGTGGGAAAGGGACAAATCATCAAACAAAAGATGATTATATGGTAAAGGAAACTGAGTGATTTGAAAGAGAATAATCCATTTTGTGTCAGTTTAATACATCTGTTGACTTCAGATGAAGCTTGGTTCACTGCCTCTCACTGGCCTCATCAGGGCTGGCTCACCCTGCTTGCCCTCTGCCCAGATGTGTCCTGGAGTGGCAAGTGGGGCATTAGCTGAAGGCCTTTGTAGTGTGAGGACATGAGGCTGACAAGAGCCCCCTTAGTCCTCTGAAAAAGAGCATAATGGCAAGGAAGCCCTCGTGTGTTTTGCTGGGACAGGAGGAAGTTGGCATCTGGGACTCAAGACCTCTGGATGGAAGGGGTTGACTGATGTGGACTCTAGAGATGTGGGTAGGGGTGAGCTATTTCCCAGAGGAAATTGGACAGTGTCAAGAAGGGTATAATCTGCTGTGGGGCTAATGAACAGATGTCTACTGGGGTCTCCTGTCTGTCCTCCCCTGTAGGGTTGTTCCTACAAAAAGACATCTGGGTGTGCTTGCCTTTCACACAGCGAAGGCCACTGCCCATGCCTCTGCCCAGGCTGAAACCCTCTTCACTCTTCCCTCACTCTCAGCAGTCCCCTTTGTGACATGACTTCCAGGACTAGGCACCTGCTGAGTCCCTCACTCATCCACTACTTCCCTGTACTAGCATGACTATCTTCCCTTTTCCTGCCAAATTGGAGACAATTGGCAAAATTTGTAGCTACTAGAAACTAGAGGGCAGGGGAAGGAGTGCAGGTATTTGGCTGAGTCATCTCTGTGCAGGCAGCAGTGACAGATTCATGTGCTGTTTTTGCAGGTATTCAGGTTCGGCATGATCAAGATCTGGGCTACATGCACCACAAGTTCGCAATCGTGGATAAGAAGGTGCTGATCACTGGTTCACTCAACTGGACCACACAAGCCATCCAGAACAATAGAGAAAATGTTCTGATTATGGAGGATGAAGAGTATGTGAGGCTTTTTCTGGAAGAATTTGAGCGTATTTGGGAAGAGTTTAACCCTACAAAGTATACCTTTTTCCCACAAGAAAAGAAAAGTCAATGAAGCTATACTTTAAACTCCACCTGCAGAGTGAGTGGGAGCAAGTTGTTTCAATGCTGGGTACTTCTGGTGCCTGCAGAGAGGGAGCTGACCCAGCCTCCCCTCTGGAGTCAGAAGTGCCTGAATGCGGGGACAGCTCCAGCATGAGCTCTGCCCTTAGGTATGGGAGAAAGTTCTCATCAGAAAAAAAGTCATTTACACTAAATCCTTGTTCCTTCAAGTCCCAAATTTAATTAAAGAGTGTTTGGGGTTTAAAAGGAAAGGGGAGATTGCTGTTATATCAGGTAATTTGTTTTGGTGGCTTTATGAGTGAGACAGGAGAAAAATGTTACTGTACTGGCCTGTAAGACATTTGATGGAGCCTTTTTGCTTTATTCTGTGTTTGTTTTTTTCCACCCCGAGTAAACAGAGCAACAGCTGTTTATTAAGTGTGCTCTCAGGAATCTTGCATGGTATCTTGGTTTAGGATTGGAGGGTTTCTCTTTCTGTTGCTGCTTGAACGAACACTGTAGGGTTGAAAATGTAGGATTCCTTTTTTTTTTTTTTATTCTAGAACATTTTCTACTTTGGCTGATACTCATTCAGTTTAGTCATTTTGATATTTCTCTGAAAGTGTTTCCCTCCTCTCCCTTTAGACTAGCTTCTTTCCCATCCAGCAGTGCCATACTTTTTAACAGCAAGAACGTTCTTGGGACTGGCTGGAAGTTGACAGTCTCTTCATCCCTGGTGTCACATAATCCTTGGTGGTTTATTGGTAGGCCCGAGTTACAAGAGGGAAAAAGGAAAAGGAGGTCAGGAGGATGAAAGGGGAAGAAGAGCCAGCACAAATGAGTGTGGCATGTGGCTGTGCACTTGCATGGTATATGTGTAGAGTGTTAATCCTCCAGACCGTGGCAGACTAGCATCTTAGCATGAGTTGCCACTACAGCAGACGGTCACACTCTTAGGTAGGTTTCCTTGCTTAATTATTCTTTAAATAAAACATACATGAAAATATTCATGCTCAGAAATGTACCTTCGTTTTCATATGGTGAATTACTGTGTGGTCTGTCAGTAAGGATTGTATGCAGCCTGAAGCTGCTTTCTTTTTCCATGTTATGCTCTTCTTCTTCTTTTTTTTTTTTTTTAAACATTCTTACATCCAAAGTAATTTTGTTGTGTGTTTGGAAGTGACTTGACTTTGACACCTCTGAAGTAGCTAATTTGCAATTTTGGCCTAGTATAATCAATTGTGTTGTGGACCACTTGAGAGGAATAAATCTGAGAAGAGGAAAACAGTTTCAAGCTTGTGGTTCCTTATTTATCTATTGCTATTCCCAACTCAGTATTGTGTAATTCTTGGGTGTGTGGTAGAACCTTGGTTAACAGAGTGATGTGCTATTAGACGCCTGCCTATTAGACTGCCACAAGCAGTTTACAAAGGTTCTTGATGGTTTTTGCATTTACACATAATTTGAAGAATGGCTATCTTATATCCATTTGTGGAAATGTCCCAGGTTACTTTTTCACTATGTATATCTGAGATATAGATAACTTGAATAGCATCTTGTTGAATTATTTTAAGGTCTTGTATTTCCTCTGAGGGCTTTGTGAAACCTGTCTTGAAGTCTGATGTGTTTGTGTGCTCTGCCTTCTACCTCATACCATTACCATCTATATAATGTGTTTTCCCTTTTTTAAGTTACCTTTGACTTAGTTTCAAGCAAGTAAACTTTAAGTTAATTTTCCTTATTTAATTGGAGCTGTAAAGTATACTACACAGATTGGAAATCACAAAAAATGGTTTATATTAAGTATGTTCTTTCATCTGAGTTTGTGGACTGCAGAAGCTTATGTTCTGAAAAGAAAATGGCAGAAGTTGTAGACTGTCTCCTGAATAATGAAACAGTGTTATCCCAAGCTTCCGACTTATTTGAATAAATATGTTATTCTATAATACTTATGTTATATATCTTTACTTTAGCCTATTGTTAAGTCATTTAAGTAGTGGCTATCCTATATTAATTAAAGTAAACATTCTTGGGGGGTGAGTGAGGGAAAATATTTAGAAAGTATTGGTCAAGTTAAAAGCCTCACAAAGAGGAGTGACTTTTTTTTGTGTGTGTGTGTGAGTTGGGTGAAAGTTTACAGAGCAAATTCATCTTCCATATAGCAGTTCACATACACTTTGTCCCATGACATTGAATATATTCCCCCACAGTGTAACAGCTCTCCTCCCATTTCCTCCACATAGCCACCTCTTCCTGTGTCCTTCCTTCCCATGCACCCCTCCCCCCTAAGCTGTCTGGCTGTGCATACACAGCCCTTTTATTCCCCCATGATTGATCTCTCCAAGGAGTGTATCTACCTAATGTAAATGTTCAGCTTATATGCTTGTCTTTTGTTTGGCTGGAAGCAACAGGAGTGGGTTCAATTCCAGACCTGAAGGGCAACTGGGAGCCATAGTCTCAGTTATTCCATCAGGCTCTATCAGACCAGTAAATCTGGTCTTTTTTTTTTCTTTTCGTTTTATGATTCTGAGTTTTGTTCCATGTTATTCTCCCACTCTATCTAGGATCTCCTACATTGATCCCCCTCTGAATGGTTGACAGTGGTAGCCTGGCACCATCTAGTTCTTCTGATCTCATAGTTGTATAGGTTGAGGATCGCATGGTGTACCAGTCCCTTGGACTAATTGTTTCCATGTGTCTTTGATTTTCTTCATTATTCTTTGCTCTGGATGAGGGTGAGACCCATCATTGCATGTAGATGGCTGCTTGCAAGCTTTTAAGATCCCAGTCGCTACTTGCAAAAGTAGGATGTGGAACGATGTTTTTGTGTAGCATGTTATGTCAGTTGAGCTTGATGTCCCCTGCAACCATGGTCCCGAATCCACAGGTCCAACTACTTGCAAGGAGTGACTTTTTAAAAAGGTGTTATTTGGGTGCTTCCTAGTTTAAAACATTTTGAAAAGTGTCCCAAGAGTCCTTTTGTACCGTTTCTACACCTACAAAATAGAACTGTGATTTTTAGCCTGTCTCTTCACAACCTGTGAAACTTTGCAACTCATTGCCCCAGTGGGACCCTATGTTACTTGCAGTTCCTGGTCCTCAAGTATAACTGCACCCCTTTCTCTTCCAGAAAGCAGGTTGGCATTGTCTTTTTTTAATGCATTTTATTGAAATACAATTTATGTACAGTGAAATACATAAAATAAAGTGACATGAGTCGATGCATTTTTTTTTTTTTTTTTGCCGTGTTCCCTCACCACCCCTCCCCTCCCATCTCTGGCAAGCAACAAAGAAAGTTTCTCTCCATATATAAACCTTTCCTTGACCCTCCACAACAATGAACTAGTACTATATTTGTCCTCCTGTGATTGACTTATTTCACTCAGCATGATGTCCTCCAAGTTCAACCATATTATGTGATGTTTTACAGACGGTACATTATTCTTTAGTATTGCATAGCATTCCATTATGTGTTTGTACCATAGTTTGGTCATCCACTCTTCCGCTATAAATCTTAGAGATAAGTCCCTTGCCAGATATGTAATTATCAGCAAATATGAATTTGTTCAGAAGGAAGGTTGGGCAGTCTACTTCCGTAGTGAAACTGCCTCGGCAACCCAAGGACAGGTCGCTATGAGTCGGGGCTGACTCAATGGCACATAACAACAACAACATGAATTTGTTGCTGTCATTTTTGTTATGTGCTTTTTCTTGGTGTCGATTTCTTTGTTCCATATAATTTTCTATGCTGAGCTCCTTTTGTTTATGAATCGTGTTATTACTTCCTTCATTGCTATTGTTTTAGTATTTGCTGAATATGCTGGTCCTCTTTTGATGTGAAGGTTTATCATTTTTCTTTGAGGTTACCTTGTGATTTATAGTTTTCTTCCCAAGTTTAGAACAGTCCATTCTATCTTGTAGTTGTCTTGACTTCCCTACCATCTAGAAGTTCTGTAGCAACACAGTTTTTTCCCTCTTTTTGGTTTGTAGTTGTTCTCAGTTGTCAGTTGGTGTCTCTGGTTCCCTGTTCACAATCTCATAGGCTTATTTACTTTGGATACTTCCATAGCTGGGATGGTTTCTTGGTTATATCATCATGTGTGTTAATGGTCAGTTGTTGTTGGCTGTTGTTGCTTCTCTGTCCGAAAGACTCCCTTTAGCATCTTTTGTAAGGTTGGTCTGGTTTTAATAAATTCCCTTAATTTCTGCTTATCTGGCAATGTCCTAATTTCACCATCATATTTGAGGGACAGTTTTGCTGGGTACATAATTCTTGGTTGGAAATTTTTCTCTTTCATTGTTTTATATATACCATCCCATTGTCTTCTCGCCTGCATGGTTTCTGCTGAGAAATCTAAGCTTAGTCTTATTGGTTGCCCCTTGTAGGTAACTTTTCGTTTTTCCCATGTTGTTCTCATGATTCTTTCTTTGTCTTTGGTTCTGGCAAGTTTGATGATGATATGTCTGGGTGACTTTCTTTTGAGGTCTATCCTGTTTGGGGTTTGTCGGACCTCCTGAATGGATATATTTTCATCATAACTGGAAAATTCTCTTCCAATAAATCTTTGACAGTTTATTCTGTGGTTTTATTTGTTTCTTCCTGTTCTTGAATTCCAATTACACGTAGTGGTATCCCACATGAACCTTAGGCTTTCTTCATTTTGTTTTGATCTTTTTTCTGATTTATCCCTTTCCAAAGAAGTGTTCAGGTATTTGCCTTCAATCTCCCTAATGCTGTCTTCCATGGATTCAGTTCTGTTCCTTTGCCCATTCAATGTCTTACATATTTCTGAAAATTTAGTATTAATCTTATAGATTTCTGTGTGTAGATTTTGTATCATTTCTAAGTTTTCATTTATTTTGTCATTTTGTTCTTGTATTGTCTTTTGAAATTGTTTTAGGGTTTTCTGTGTGTTTTCCTTGGGCTGTCTCTCAGTTCATTGAAGATACCTAAATATAATTCTTTTGAATTCCTTATCAGGGAGTTCCAATGCTGCATCTTCCTCAGGGATG